TAAAAAACATTAGTGTCTCAGGTAAAACATGAGATGTGATATTAATATAGACATTTAAAATTGAATGTATGGGCTAATGTGTAAGATTTGAATACATCCACTATGGTAGGACTGCCTCGTGGTAGCATTTTGATTTGATCAACCTATTGCTGTTGTTTTATCAACAAAATTACAATATTTACATAATACTTGAAGATTTATTCAACGTTGCTCTAGTCCTAACTCAATTAATTTTTGTTTTTCTTCATTTAAATCATTGCTCTGGGATATGAAGGATTCAGTATGCAGCCCTCCCCAGGGAGAGAGGATTACCCCAGCCCTCTCTCACCACAGCAGTTTGGGATCAAGTGAAAAGCGTCTCTCCAAGGCCAATGCAGCTCAGGCAGGAACAGCGGGAAGAGTGGGGCATATCCCCCTGTTGGGGAAAGTCCAGGTTCATCTCCCTCCTGCACACTCCAACCAGAGTAAGAAATGTAGCAAACTATGCACTTTCCCTTCGCTCAATGTGTTCCTATTGTGGCACTACATTTAAAAATGCCAGACTAGCACATCATGTTTTTTAAAATATATAATTATACTTTGGTATAAGATGGTGTCATAGGTACACATCCATGTGTCCACATACTCTACAAATATATAAACCATATCCACATTATCCATATATATTTCTTATCTGGCAGTGCTCCAAGGTTCAATCATAAAACTATATTTCTCAACCAATCACCGGGCCTAACATCCCCAGGCCCACTATAAGGGATTTAACACAGTTGGCAAATAAAATCTATCAGTCGTATGAAAAATGTGCAGACTATAACTAAAGTTATATTATGAGTAATAGACAGGCCTTGTCAAAGCAAATGTCTCTCTGCAAATCAGTGTCTCTTCACTGGAACTGCTAGTATTAATAAAAGCACATGAAGTATGTAAATACAGTAGACTTCCGATAATCCAGCACCTTTGGGACCTAGGTGGTGCCGGATTATCGGATATGCCGGAGTATCAGGAGGTACTCCAGAAGGGGGCTGTGATGAGTCTGCCGGGACCCGCACTGCATCCGGGGGGTGGGCGGGGAACGGCACAGCGAGGGGCGAACACTCCGCCGTTTTGCAGGAAGGTGGGGGAAGCCCCACATTGCCGCCAAGAGTTTTCGGGAGTTTCCACCCTCCAGACTGCAGTAGTTATTGCTGAGCATGAGGGTGAGGGACAGAGGTGTGGGCCCAACCTGGCAGCACCCCAACTGCTCTGCTCCGTCGCTTCCCCAAGTCCACCGCTCATCAGTTTCAGCAGCGGCAGCAGCGGACTTGAGGAAGCGGCGGAGCAGAA